AGCAGCAGCAGCAGCAGCAGCAGCCGCCGCCACCTCCGCAGCCTTTGCCTGGAGGGGTGGCCAAGTACGAGGACAACCTGATGAAAAAGACCGCGGCCCCTTCCAGTAGCAGGCAGTACCACGAGCCAACCCCGCAGCTCCCCTTCCGAACTCACTCCTTGCACCTCCAGCAGCCGCCACCACCGCCGCCACCACAGCCCTCTCCCCTGACGTACCCCAAGCTTCCGAGGCAGAAGATGCAGAACGACGTGTCCTCCTCTCTGTCCTTCTCACAGGGTTCCCACTTTCCCCAGCATTCCCAGTCATTCCCAGCCTCCTCCACGTACACGTCGGTCCAGAGTGGGAGCCAGGCAGCTCACTCCTACAAGAGTTGCAACGCTCCCTCTGCCCCACCAACGCACGAAAGGGCTCTGGGCAACGCCACCAGCTTGCCCTCTGCCCAGCGGGTCCAGGGCTTGCACGGCTATCAGCCTAACCGTATCGGCTACGACCAGCCGCAGCAGCAGCAACAGCCGGCATCTCTGCAAGGTAGGCACCATGCTCAGGAGGCTCTGCACTATCAAAACCTAGCAAAATACCAACATTATAACCAGCCAGGACAGAGTTACTGCCAAGCTGACGCCCCCGTGAGGACCCCGGACCAGTATTACCAAACGTTTAGCCCTAGCTCAAGTCATTCTCCAGCTCGTTCAGTTGGTAGATCCCCATCCTATAGTTCAACCCCTTCTCCGTTGATGCCTAACTTAGAGAACTTCCAGTATAGCCAGCAGTCACTGACCACGGGGGGATTCCCAGCCAGCCTTGCCGATCATAGCCACTTCATGCCTTTGCTGAACCCCTCGCCAACCGACGGGACGAGCTCAGACCCCCAGCCATCCACGAACTGCAAGAACTTGTCGAAGGAGAAAATTCCCGAGAACCTCTTGTCGGATCTGAGTCTTCAAAGCCTCACGGCCCTTACTTCTCAAGTCGAAAACATCTCTAACACTGTCCAGCAGCTTCTCCTTTCCAAGTCCACAGGAATGCCCCAGAAGAAAGGAATCAAAAACTCACCGAGGACTCCAGAGCAACTCAAAGGGCAGCACTGTAGCCCTGAGGGTAACAGTTATTCTGCAGAGCAAGCAGGGACTCCCCACTCGGACCCTCTCAGCACCCCCCAGTCCGTCCATGCTGAAACCCAAGATACCGACTACCTGAGTGGCTCTGAAGACCAGCTGGAGAGGGGCTTCTTGTACTGTAGTCAAAGCCGTAGCCCGGCCCGTGTCAACAGCAATTCCAAAACCAAGCCTGAGTCCGTGTCCACCTGCTCGGTGACTTCTCCGGATGACATGTCGACCAAGTCCGATGATTCCTTCCAAAGCATTCATGCCAGCCTGCCGTTGGAGAGCTTTACAAAGTTTGTGGCTGGTGAAAGAGATTGCCCCCGATTGCTGCTCAGTGCCCTTTCTCAAGAGGAGCTGGCATCCGAAATCATTGGCTTGCAAGATGCTATCAGTGAGAAAGCAGACAAAGGCTGGGCCGATTCTCCTGCTCCAAACAAAGACCCAGACAAATCCCCCTTCCACTTAGAAAATCACAGGACTTGCCTTGACTCTGTAGTCAAAAGCCCCTGGTCCAACCAGGGGGATTCAAACGCTCTTGCTGAACCCTTGAAGTTAGACAAGGGACGAAATAACGGGAAGAATTTCACAGAGGAGGTTTATGACAACTCCCGGGTTCCCTTCACAACGACAGAGACAAAGAATTCCCTAAAAACAACCAGCTCGGGGGGCTATAATGCGAAGCCAAACATCTCAGTGGCCACCTCCAGTTCTGAGACCACTGGAAGCTTCAGCTGCTATTCCAATGCCACCGCCAATTCAGTGGGCTCTGAAAATGCCATGGAGAACTTTGACTGGCCGGACGAGAACCTCAGCGACACCTGGAAAGAGCTTGGGTCAAGCCTCCAATCGTCAGATCTTTCCAAGAGCTTATTTTCTGGCAAGCTGAGCGAAACTTCTGAAGAGAAAAAAAATGCCTCCTGCTTGAGCCTCTGTGATCCTGAGGGGTCAGCTGAAGCAGAGGAAATGGAAGGCTTCAGTCAACAACACCAGGCCAACAAAAGGGAGGGTTTAAATTATGATGAGGCTACAAGAACGGAGAGTGAACGATGGCTAGAGGACACCACCAGGAACTCCTGTTCAGGAGAAGACTTCAGTGAACTCCCAATGATGTCTTCTCCAGACCTGAAAGAATCTGATTTGGAACCTGAAGAATATTCCTCTTTGTGTGAACTAGCTGGTTCTGAGCAAAAGACTTTGACTTATGATGCGTTCACACCTAAGCCTGCAGAGAACGCTCCAGCTCTTTCTCTCCAAGATACTCCTGGATCAGCAGAAGAAACCACCAACACGATTGAGAAAGAGAATACTGCTCCTCCTTCTCATTTGTCTGATCCATCTGTTATCCTTTTAGGACCAGCAGTTGGCACAGATACGAAAGTGAAAAGCTGGTTTGAAACTTCTCTGCATCACTTGAAGTCCAAGGAGGAGACAGCAGCTGGTGAAAATGCCCCTCCGGATAAGACAGAGACATCAGCTACCTTGCTGTTGAAGAAACAAGTCCTACCAGAGAAGCTGACAATAATATCAGAACCTACCTCCAGAGGCAAAAGTCTTCGGAGTAAAAAGCTCCAGTGCAGGCTGTCAGGTGGAGAAGAATCTGTTCAATCCATGTCAAATCCATGTACAGGCATTCAAGCAGCTGGCCTGGTGGCCAACCCATGCCCGGCTCCAAACGATTTGATTGAAATGCCAAGTAAGAACACCCATGGCCAGACTCCCAGATTTCCCACTGAAGGTTTGCCGGCGAGGATGTGCACCCGTTCCTTTACTGCAATGACAGAACCAAGAATGCTAGACCCTCTGGAAGGTGCCAGAGCTTCAACTCCTCATGAGAAGTTGGGCAAGAAGTCAATGTGTGTTTTGAAGGAGAGAGCGGCCTTCAAAGTGAGGAAGGCCAATGGGAAGGCGTCGCCAAAGCCCACTAATCCATCTCCTCCCCTGATCTCCAACTTGGCCCAGAATGAAGATTCTGCTGTTCCGAAGGCCAAAGAAGCTGACGCGGTAGAAACTGAGATGAAAGATCAACAATCGATGATTCTCCGTTCCAGGACCCGGACTCAGGAGGTCTTCTATACCAAGCGGAGGAGAGAGAAGAACATGGTGGAAGTGGAATTCAAAAATGCCAAGCTGCCCAAGAAGGTGTTCCCAAACAACCACTTGCCAGGGTCTTTCAAGATCAGCCCCCCCAATCAGTCCGAGAAGGAGAGCAAGCTGGGCAAACGAATGAAGCTTCCGAAAGCCAGGCCGGAAATGGGCAGCAAAATATCCGAGAGGCCACTCCACGTCCTGAAAAGAAAATCTGTTTTCATGCCCCCGATTCCGGCTAAGAAACGGAACCTGATTCTACGAAGCAACAATCACAGCAGCAACAGTGGGAAGGAGGAGAAGCCAGACGTACCTTCTGGCCTATTTAAGAGGGTGCCGTCTTCCAGGAGGACCGCAGTGAAGCCGTCTCCCAAGAACTCCTGTGAAGCAGTGCTCAAGTCCCCTCAGGCGAAGGAGAACCCTGGGGTCTGCATAAAAATCACCTCCCGGGCTTCCTTCCAGGGAGCCATGAAGACCAAAGTGCTCCCCCCAAGGAAAGGAAGGGGCTTAAAACTGGAAGCTATTGTGCAGAAGATCACCTCTCCCAACCTGAAGAAGTTTGCCTGCAAGACGGTAGCCCCCGCCATCTCTGCCACGGTCCCCACGGCTGCTGCCACCGCCCACAGTAATCCTCTCAGCCCTTCCCTACCAGAGAGGGAACAGGCCTCCAAGAATACCAGCGGAGGAACCCCAGCCGTGGGGGAAGCTAGCCCATTAAACCAGGCTTTGTCACAAAAGGCTCCTGCCGCTCCAGCAGCCGAGCAATTATGCAGAAACCCGAACAACAGATCCTTCAGAGGGAAACTAATGAACAGCAAGAAACTCTCCTCCAACTGTTTCAAGGGTGAGGCCTATTCATCGCCCGAGACGTTGCAGCACAGCGGCGACGGCATGGCTGCGAGCGCCATCGGCCTGCTGCCCAAGAAGAGGAACCGAAAGGGGAAAGCGGCGGCCTTCCACGTGGCCCAGAACAGCTTGGAGAAGTGCCCTCACCTGAGCCCGGCTTTGTTCCTCGCAACCCGAGAGAAGGTGGCGGCGGCGGCGGCAGGGAAAGGCGAAGAGGGACCCAGGGAGGGGAAGAAGCCAAAAGGCGAAGACAAAGGCTTTGGGACCGCCGCCGAGAGTGCTGAAGGGAGGCCCCCGCCGGCCCAGACCCGGGCCCAGAAGCAGCGAGCCAACCATTCCAACTACAACGGCTACACAAAGAGACAAAGGAAGCACCACAAGCGCCGGAAGGCCCCGAGCGTGCCCTCGCGGTGTAAGAGCAAGACCCGCCGGCGGCACCAGCAGCGGGCCCCTCTGCTGAGCCCCACTGAGCCTGAGATCCGGCTGAAGTACGTCTCCTGTAAGCGGCTGAGGGCAGACAGCCGGGCGCCACCTTTCTCGCCGTACGTCCGGATGGAGAAGTGGGACGAGTTCGTCACCACCTGCACGGTCGTCAACTTCCCGACTGAAGAGGCGAAACTCCACAACGAGCAGCAGCAGCAGCAGCACTCTTCTTCTTCTTCTTCGTTTTCTTCTTTGTCCGCCCAAGCTGGTCTTTTTGGGACCGCCTGCCTGCGGCCTCCGGCGATCCTACCTCTGTCGTCCATGATGCACCTCGGGCCAGTGGTCTCCAAGGCCCTCAACACGGCCTGCCTGGTCTGCTGCTTGTGCCACCACCCGGCCAATTACAAAGACCAGGGGGACCTCTGCGGGCCGTATTACCCTGAGGACTGCCTGCCGAAGAAGAAATCAAGGCTGAAAGAGAAGGTCAAACTGGAGGGGGTGGGCGAAGAGCCTCCCTCGTCGTCTTTGGCAGAAAGGCTGCTCAAAGCCACAGACAATAGTTGCGCAACCGGTACGCTGGGTGGAAAGCCGCCAAGGTTGGACAGTGGCGCTGACTCAGTGAAACAGAGCGCTCTCCGTTCGAGTTCCAGGGGGATGTTTAGAAAACTGCAAAGCTGTTACTGTTGTGATGAGAGGACAGAGGGAGAGGAGGCTACGGCGGGGGCGACGGTGGCCGCGGTGGAGAAGCTCCGGAGACACGAGTGCGGCAAAGCTGACTCGCCGCTGCCAGATCCCGCTGGAGAGACGCAGGAACACTGGGTTCACGAAGCCTGTGCTGTATGGACAGCTGGGGTTTATCTGGTGGCGGGGAAACTCTATGGACTGCAGGAGGCAATAAAGATGGCCGCGGACGTGGTAAGAGTCTCCCCTTAGCGTAAACCTGGTGTCCCTGGGGATGGAAGCTGCGGGCTCACCTAGTCAACGAAGCTGCGCAGTAAGAGGCTACGGGCAGCCGTGGGAGGGAAAGGTGGCAGGGCAGCCAAGACAGGAAGATACTCAGGTCTGCATCTGCGGCAGGCCGTGGAGGAATCCTTCGAAGGAATCCAGTCAAGTCTGTTTGATCCTAATGCTGCCACCTGATTGGTTCTCATTGGAGCAACTCTAGATGATTTGGGGTTTCTTCACTTCCTTGAGTGTTCAGTTCATGTTCTGTCAGGTTTATTTTCTTGCTTGGGAGAACAGCTGCTCCCTGGCAGAAGGTAAGAAGACCCTCTTGTATCCGAGTCCTGAGTTTGCAAACTTCAGGCCAACTCAAGACTTGGAAACAGCAGGGCTTTTCTGACATTCTTACCGAGCGTGTAATCACACCAGGGGGCTTGGATCTTCTTGCTTCTTACACAATTGGCCAAAGGGGGTTCCCAGGAAGGAAGGTCTGAATGATGGTGCCCTTTGGAAGGAACAATCTCCACCTGTCTTGGGTGGCCGATGGCTTCCTTGAGGTTTTCTGACTGAGGACAGAATTACATGTCTTGAGAGTTCATCAGTGGAGTGCGAAGGCAAAATAGGTCTTTGTTATTGGTCCTGAGCATCGTCATGCTGTGGTATGTTGGCCCTGTTCATGGAAGTTCCTTTCAGCAAGAGCTGGTAGCAGTTCCTGCAACGTTCTGCTTATCGATCCCCTAAAGCGTGGCAATGAAAACGATGTGCCTATTAGGAGTTCTCTATCAAAATATCCACATTTTTTCAGCGGATCCCTCTATGTAGGCAAGAGAAGGAACTTGGGGATCTCAGGCTGGAATGATGTTGTAAGGCATTGCTGGGAAATGTAAGGAAACAACAGAGGCCATGTTGCAGCAGTGATCTATCTCTTGGAAATTAACCCAGGATCTTCTAAAGAAAGGGGGTGGTGTTTTTGCCTTCTGGCTCCCTCAGCTGCTGTCCAAGGTTGTAGGTCTCCTTCTCCCTCATGATTTCACTTCTCTGGTTTCTTCAGCCAGTGGCACCTTCTTTGTAGACAGCATCTCCTCAAAGTAAAGGTATCTATATTGCAGCCCCTCCTTCATCGGTGGCACACTGCTTTCTATGCCACCATCCCCTCACACGTTGCCAGACTATTGTTCAAAAGTGTCAAAGGTTCTGTAGAGTCTCGTAGCTGAGAAGTGGTCTCTACCAGGGACATTTGTCCTCAGGAAATTAGGAAAGATACGTTAAGAGTATGACGGCATCTGCTTCCCATAGGTGGTCTGGAAATTGGCACCTCGTTTGGGCAAGGGAAGCTGGAAAAACACCCCACAATTCTGCAGGAGGAAAGAAATTTTTGAAATTTTGCTGAAGGCCATAAATGCCGGGACACTCCTGGGTGTCAGGCCGCAAACTAAGGGACCTATTTCTCTGGTCCTTCTTAAGGGCAGCCTGGCAGAGGGCTCCCTTCCTCAGGCACCTCTGAGACAGACTGAGGCATCCTGTGGAGGAAGGTCTGCCAACTTGCCAAGGCCACCATTGCTGCTGACACTGGAGGAAAGGAAGTATTTATAGGAGGCAACGCAGCCCAGTCTCTGAGCACCCCCGAAGGTCCAGGTTGAGTGCCTGGCTGAAGCCTTGGCAGCCTGCGCCCATGAGTTCTCAAAACTCATACTGTACTGGTGACCTAGTCTCCACATCTCCAAAGTCCAAATGTCCCTATTTTGAAGTGTCTGCAGTACAGAAGAGCAGATTGTGGTTGTATGTTGGAAATAAGTTACTAACCGTGAGAGCAGTTGAATAGTGGAACCCGGAGCCAGAGGTGTTGGGCTCACCTCATTGGGGGTGCTCAAGCGGAACCTGGACCACCATCAACCTGGGACGCTTTCGTTTGGTTCCCTGCACCAAGCCAGGTTTTATGGCGTAGGGCGTCTCTTAGGAAAGGACACATTCGCCGACAAGGCTTAAAACAGCTCATTCACCCCCTGGGTGTGCAATGTAACTGTAAGAAAAACTACATTGCTCACACATAATGCTGAAATTTCTTTGCTCTATAAATAACAGGCAAGCATCACTAGTCCCAAACAGAAGACACCAAGTTAAGTGAGTTCCCAAGTCAGAAAACGTTCTCAGAGGTGTGAAAAAAGAGCTGTACGTGCCCAAGAGTGACTGCGAGGGCTGTGTTTTACTAAAGTGGGTTGTGCTAGAGCTCCTTTGCAAATCTGTCCGTACTGACCATCGGTAGAGCTAGCACGGTTCGGCCAGCAACATGGAATCCAGGAAAGTGAAGGTGGAGGTTCAGTCATCCTGGGTGGATGCAGAAATCTCTGCTTTCTGGCCCAAGGGAAGGACAACGATAATGAATCAAAACTAGTTCAGATAAACGTCAACTCTGAGCCCATAAAAAGTTCCCTTTCCCCAAAGAGAGGAGGATGCGTCCGGACGGAATGGAAGGTCTTCTCAAAAAGCAGCTTTGGGGAGAGCTGATACCCATGTCACTAGATCTCATGGAATGTCTGTTTTCTTCCCCTCCCTGCTGATTGCAGAGGTGTTCTGGCTGTCAACGAGTCGGGGCGACCATTGGCTGCTGTCACAAGGGGTGCACCCAAATCTTTCACTACACATGTGCCATCGACACAGGTAAGCGTCTTACTGGCTGGAGCAGATTTTTAACCAGGATATTAGGAGACGGATGCGTTTCGGGATATGTCTGCAACTGCCAGCCCTTCAAGCAAGGGTGTCCTCAGGGTGTGGTCAACCAAGTCAAGATGCTGTCTGTGCCAATGCAGTGGAAGCTCCACCTGTTTTATATGTGCCTTGCACACGCGACATGTTGCATCTCGCAATGCACATAAAAAACAAGTGAGTTTTGATTGTGCAATGACTGCTACCAACTTGACTTTGTGGACCACCCCTGCCTTCAGAGTAGACCAGGTCAGGAAACAGACGCCACAGGGCTTCCAGGAACGCTACTTTATTGTTATAGGGTATTGTAACAGAATCTTGAAAGCCTGCCAGATTTCGTCTTTGATCCCTCTCACACCAAACGGAATCAAGGTGGAGTTATTCTTTTCAGTTTCTTCCCGTGCTCCCTCCCTCCTCCCGGAACGAGCTGTTTATTTTCCCTTAACGGCTCCTGCAGACGTTCGTCAAGGTTATCTCTCCATTCCTCTACAAGAACTGAGAGCACCTCATTTTGAAGCCAGTTATTTGAAATCCAGGGGGGTGGGGTGGGGGTGGGGGAAACCCATGCATTCTCCATTACAGGGTAAAGAAAAAGGAAATTGGAAAAATACAAGCAAACTGTGCCTCCCCCTGCTCCTTTTCTGGTAGCTGCTATTAAGAAGACTTCTTTTGTTTTTTAAAAAGCAGGAGCAATCCAGACCCTCAGCACTGCATTCTGCCACAAGCTTTTCCTGGAGCGATCGAGCACATTTTTCGTTTGCAATTATTTATTTGCATAACTGTGGTATTCCTGCAGCAGAGAGGCCCAGCCAGAGTCTCAGGGCTCCGGGAGACCTTGGAAAGTCTCGAATGCAGCTCTAGGGACCTCCAAAGATGGTGGTCTCTCTTGCCTGTAATTTTCAAGGTGGCCCAAAGGAGAAATTATTCAATAGAAGATGTGTTGAAATGGTAGATGACTCGCATACTGCTGAACCAGGCAAAGAGTTAACAGCCCACTTCCTTGTTAGGAAGGCAGCCAGAGAACTTGGGGATGTGGGGGAGATAAAAGAGGAGAAATTTGGCAGAGATTCAGGTAAAAAGAAAGGAAAGGAAAAGGACATATCCTGTACGTAGGAAAGAAAAAAGAATCATTAGTTACCAGTGACAAATCATTCTGTAGTTAAGCACTCAGAGGAGTTCTGTTGACGTCCTTCCCAACAGAAACAGCCATAGGATCTGTCCGTAAGTGTTATTGTTAAAACAAAGTGTTACTTACTTGTAATTATAAGCCACTCCAAGCCCATGAGAGGTCATGCAGCGCCTTCACCTCCACCATGCCTAACGTTCCGGGCTCCTAGGAATGAATTGGCAAGAGAGGGAGTAACCATAGCCTTACAGCTCTTAAATTTGTCATTTTGGGGTGGTGGCAAAATGAGCCTAAGCTGTGTTTGTCTAAATCAGTCTGGTTTCACTATGTGTGACTGGAGAGCTAACTATCTTGAAACGTAATTCAATGGAAAGAGAAATGTGGATGAAATCAAATTTAGAGCCACCACTACTTTGGGGAATGCAGCCCTGGCCTGCCATTCAAAGACCAGGTGTGGTCCTTGGCCACGTCCACCGCAAACCAAGTTTTTCTCAAATATCAGCATGGACGCAGTGGTGCAAATCCCACTCTGACATATCTTTCTCCTGACATCTGATGGAGCTTTGTGCCATTTTTTCCCCAGCCCAGAAAAAGTTGCCTTCCACCATGAAGACATGTTCAACCAAGAAGTTTTTGTGCAAAGGGTTGAAGAAGCTGGGCAAAAACCATAATGCACGCCTACTTTCTTTAGTCCTCCTCTCAAAAGAAAGACAATCCAGTTGTTAGGTTTTCCTAATGGCTCACGAAGAACTCTTCACACACGGGAACCTGACCGTTTAAAGGGGGGACAGGAGTGACCCAGCTGTGGCCTTCGACCATAGCCAGTGAGACCATTGGGGTGCTTCAGTTTTGCGCCTCATCTTGTCCTGGGACAGGAAATCTAGGGCTTTCCAGCTGTGCTTGCTTTCAGTTCCCATAATCCCTACCCTTGTGCCACTGGGAGCTGTAGTTGAGCACATCGGAGGAGGTCCACTTGCCAGCGTGGGCAGCCACGCTTGGGTGAAGGATGCGGTCCTTGGAGACCCGGGGGAGAATGTGACCTAACCTTGAGGGTTGGGGGAAGAAAAGAGGAATCACAGTTACACACTGGCAGATCCGGGCTGGGAAGCTGGAAGCTTCTCTGCTTGTGAGTTGTGGATATCTGAGGAGGTTGACTTGTTGGGGAAAGAAATGTCAGTGCAGAAGAGGGCTTTCACTGCCGTTTCTCTGCTGTTTTGTAGGTTGTTGGTTAATGGAAGAGACCTTCTTGCTCAACTGCCCTAAACATAAGGTAGGTGAACCGATGCTTCGAAGCCAAGGAGGAGACCTGGCCCCCCTCCTCTCCCTTCCCCTTGCCTCTCTCTTGAGCCAGGCCTCTGCCCCTCCAGCCTGCCTGCAGCCAGGTCTGCAACCAGGGTGTGGTCAGAAGAGTCAAGAGGGGGGCCGCAACGGTGCGGCCGATGGTCCAGGAGTGGATTGCAGCCTTAGCGTGCAGCAGATTCAGCTTTACTTCTGCAGAACTGAAGGATACATGGGGAAAGGACGGGCACCATCTTACGGATGGCCTTATTTCAGTAGAGGTTGGTCTGCCTCTGCAACCAAGAGTGGAATGTGGCTGTCTTTGCCGCCAGGGTGCCACCTGGCACGGCTAATGGGGCATCATCCTTCCTGTGGCCTTATACTCTATATGCCTGGTCCTGGAGTTTGGGTAATAAGGAAAAAAGGGGGCAAAAATAACAATCCCCATGGTCAAAAGCACAGGGTGAGGTTTATTTCTTCGGGTGTTTTTTAGAAAGCCAAGGGAAATGCGGGCGTCTCCCAGGTTGGAGGCCTCTCCTCTGCACGAGGCTATTGCTGGCCACTGGGGCTGAGTCTTGGCCATGATCAAACAGAGCAGGAGGCTTTGGGGAGCAGGCCAGCGCCCCACACAACCCAGCCCCCCACCTTCTCCCTGGGCCACGTTTCAGCTCCTGTTCCTCCCCAGACACGCATCCGTTTCCTTCCCGGGCCCTTGGAGATGAGGAGCCAGCCCTGGCGGAAGAGAGGCCGGAGGGGGCCTTCCTCCTGCCGTGCCCCCTCCTTTTTCTCCCCCCTGGGAGAGAAACCGGAGACAGTCCTCGAAAAGCCTCCTCTTGTCTTGCTGAAGATCCACTGCCCAGGCCCTGTGATATAATTGAATCACCCCAGCAAACATTTCCTGCTGCTCTCTTCCTTCCCATCACCGCACCTGGCGGTTGACAATTTAAAGCAGACATGGAGGAGCAGAGAGAGGGGGAGGCAGATCTGGGGGCAGAGGGAGAGATGTTTCAAAGAAACAGAGAGAAAGGTGGAGGCAGAGGATGCATCTGGCTGGCAGACAGGGCAACCGCAGAAGTTACAGCCAGCCAGCTTCGCAAGGACTTCTTGCCCCTCACCGCCCCCCAGCAGCCATTGTAAGCCTGACTTGTAGGTTTTTCTCTCCTCCTCTCTCTCTCCCTCTCCCTCTCCCTTCCCTCCCCAAACATGGGGGAAAGCCTCTGGATCTGGGCTGCAACCATCTGGGGGAGCACAGGAGAGCAGCAGCAAGACCAACTAATGTCCCTTTGCAGCCCGGACCTGGTAGCCCACAGCTAGTCTGCCTGGAATTCCCTGGACTTTAACTCGTGAAAATCCCTCCTCGTTACCCGCCTTCCAGGTGGTACCTGTGTTTCACTCTGCGCAGGCCTGCCAAGTTTAGTTTAAAAACGAGGGCTTAGATGAGGAAAGGAAAAGAACCCCTCTCTCTTCCAAGCATCCATCCAATATTTAAAAGCTTTCTAGGAAGATGTCCTTGAAGCTGCAGATGTAGGACCTCTGGGTGGGGCTCTCTGTGGAATATGGGAAAGTTCTCCCTCTGAAGTTGGATGGGGGCTTTACCCCAGTGGGAGAAACCTGCTACTTTCTTCTGTGATTCTTGCACATCCTTACATTAATAATAGCGCTCCCTATTTCTAAAGCCCTTTTTCTAATGATCCGAAGGCCTTCATCTCTCTTACCTTCACGGCAGTCTTTAGAAGAACGATGTAAGTCAAAGCAGGATTTCTGCTGACATGCAAAACAGCCTGTGGAATGGGAGGTTGATGAGAAGCAGAGTAGCTGTCTTCTGAAATATCCTACCTGCATTGTGCTTCAGTTGCATTTACAGCCGTGAGCCAATCCACATGACATCCTGGCTTTGAGGGGGCATCTCAAATGTGGGGAGGCAGAACGGGCAGTCTTCATCTTTCGGAGATCCTGCCGTTCTCACTCAAAGGCCACACCGCCCTTGACCTGATTTCAGAACTCCTCTGCAAGAGATCAGTTCAGACCCTGGGTAGAGGGAGTTCCTTTTCCCTCTCAAGTGGCAGAGAAGATCGAGGGTCTTGCGGAGATAAGGGGCGTCCCCGGCCCTTCTCTCCTGGCCCACTTACCAGGCAGACCCTAACAGCTTTGTCTCTGAGGGCCTTTGACCCCAAAAGGTTTGTGTGCTTGAAAAATGACCTAGGGAGAAATGTGTATTTGCAAACCCTTGAATGTTTAGAAGGGTGCCCAGACCATTCTCCAAGGAACTGCAGGTTTCCCAGTCTGTCTTGGGCGTTCCAAGTCTTTCGGGCACCAGACAGCATCACCTCCCTGGCCAGGGCATCTATTTTTATTTTTCTGCCCCAGAGAAGAGGCGCAAGGCAAAGTTCTTTTCCTGCTCTGTTTTCTATTTCTGTCTTGGCATCATACAGGCAGCATGGAAGAGGGCAGAAAGCCCTTCATGGGTCAGGGGGCGAGAAGGCGTGGGGGTGGGGTAGACCCCTGAGGCCTCCCGGTGCCAATTAATTGAGGCCAGAAGGAAGGAGGGGAGGGCGAGGAGATACCCGGGAGCGTGTGGGAAGCTTGGAACCCCGTGGCTCTGGCGAACTTGGTTCAATGCAAGCGAGTCGGCCAGCCAAAGAAATGGGTTTTTCTGCTGCCCCCTTGTGTTGTGTAAAGCACCAGCCTAGATTCCTTTAAAAAAAAGGAAGAAAAGAGGACAGGCAAAAAGAAAGGAGAAGGGAAGGAGGCCATAAACGCTTCACTGCAGCTCGTGAAAGCATGTTTTTATTTTTTTAATCTGGCACTGGCGCAGGGACACAGCGCCAGCATGAGCAACGTGGATTAATCCCAAGGAATGAATCAAGGGAGTCCTTTAAGGGCAGCCACCAACCCAGGCTGGGTCGAGCCCAGCCCCCCTCCGCAGTCAGCTGGAAGTGGGCAAATGGGGGGGGGTTCCAGGAGGGGGGAGGCCCTTCAGCCCCAAGGTTTTCCTTTGGGAGGGGACCTAGTTGTGCCCACAGGGTTCCGGAGGAGCGGCTGAAGCCAAGATAAGCCAAAGGAACCTTCGGGGTCCGGCTCTTGATTCTCTCTCTCCGTTTGATCCCCTTTTCCTGCAGACGCAGCTGCTATAATGGGCCGACAGAGAAGGGAAGCACGTGCTGCCGGAGTCACGACCCAGAGGGGGCTCTGCCTTTGCACACCCCTTTGCAGTGGCTGCGACCAAGAGGAACTCTGGCCGGAAGGGCAAAGAGGAGGGAGCCCAGCCCCCGGGCCCTTTCCTCCCCCCCCCCCCCGCCTTTGCAATAGTACTTCTACTGTGAATGGACCTAGCCTTGTCCAGCCTCGCCTCCTCTTTGCTCAGGCCTTGGCAATTTCCTTGCAAGCTGACCCCAAAGGGCACAAGACCCCCCCACTCCCCCATTGCCCAGCTCCTGGGAGCCCTACCCTCCCACCCAGCAGGCAGACCCAGGCGGGTGCAGCGTCCCCCTGCCCCTTTGGAATTCCTCCGACAGCCATTCCAGGTTGGTGCAGGAACCCCAACAGAAATCCCATTCCAGTTTTTTTTCTGGTTCCTCCATTCCTGTTTGGAAGGGTTTCCTGAGCCGGTTCAGGAGAGAAAAGCAACTCCGGTTTGGGATTTGTATTCCTCCTCCACACCTTCCCTTCGCCCAGGAGCTGTAATGGACACTGACCGAGCTGACATCGACCTGAGGCTTGGCGACTGACAAAACCTGTCCACCGCGGTTCTTCTTGAAGAGAGCCTTGAGGGTTTGGCCCCTGACTTTGGAACTTACATCGGATGGCCAGATTTTATCAGAAGGCACGTGGTCGGCGCGTCCCTGGGACTAGTCACAACAGCGTTTCTGAAGTCTCTTTCTCTCCAGCAGAGAGACCGGACTTGGATCCCAAAGGGTCATAGCAAGGAGAAAGGCGTACAGAAGTCCTCAACTGCCTTGTCTCGCTCGCGCTCGCTCTCCTTGCTCAAAATGCTGGACTCCAGGAGGTCTCCAGGTCCACCATATCTTTTTCTGATCTGATCAAGTTTTGCCTTCAGCAAACCTCATGGTGTGTATGTGTGTGTGCGTGTGTGTGTGTATGTGTGTTTCTGTATATAGATGTGATCAGCGTGTAAAAAGAAGCGCCCCAAACTTTTTGGGAAACAAGGCTGCATTGCTTGAGTTCGTTTGCGCGTTCGTTTTGCTTTCGTCCTTGTTCCTCCCAGCCTGACCCTGTCATATCATTTGCCCTCTTCCTTCTCACCCCTCCATGTCTGACTCACACCCAACGCCCCCCCCCACATTCAAACCAGGAAAGCCAGCAACCCCCTAGACCAGTGTTCCTCAACCTCAACAACTTTAAGGTGGGTGGAGTTCAACTCCCAGAATTCTGGGAGCTTGCTGGGGAATTCTGGGAATTGAAGTCCACCCATCTTAAAGTTGCTGAGGTTGAGAAACACTGCCTTAGGCCACTGAGAAGAGACAAACAGCAGAAAGGTTTTACTGGGATCGTGCAGAGTGTAAAATTCTATGATTTAATCTAGATTATTCACCCTCACTTTTTTGACTTTGGAGGAACAGTGAAACTAAGTGCTTGCTTCCCATCTGGGTGAATGGTGTATGAAGTTTCAAGGAAAAGAAACTGGGTTGTTTGAGACTACAGGTAGTCCTCGCTTAATGACCATTTGTTTAGCGACCGTTTGAAGTTATGACGGTGCTGAAAAAAGCTACTTACGACTGGTCCTTACACTTACGACCATCACAGTGCCCCCAAGTCACGGTGCAGCGTCCTGGGGTCACGTAATTGCCATTAGCGACCTTCCCAGCTGGCTTCAGGCAAGCAAAATCAATGGGGAACCACGTGATTCACTTAACAACCGCCGCAAAAAATGTCATAAAATCAGGTGCAGTCACGTGATGCCTTGCTTAACGACAAATTTTCCGTTCCCTATTGTGGTTAAGCAAGGACTACCTGTAACAGAATTTATTGGGGTGGAGTGCTGTTCCATGCATCTTTATGGCCTCTGAAGCCAGCTCACCTGTTCTAAGAGCACTTGTGCATTATACCTGGATGGCTGCTCTGACTGGATATGACGACACACCACACACACCCTTGACGCCCATTTTATGCTGCTCCTGCATCAGTTGATCTTAGGCAACAGGCTGGCTTTCGATGCATTGTAGCCTGGGTCAAGCCAATCATGTGCGCTGAATGTTTTGGGGATCCCCTTATGCCACTCCATCCCCCCGTCCCATTTTTTTTGTCAGCAGGCCCTGAGTCGGCACAGACAACTTGCCTTCCTTTTCTGGTTGTAGCAGATCTTCTCCAAGCGGGTGCCTCCTTGCCATATTCCCCCCCATCCCACACACACAAAGGTCCTCAACCCACAGGCCCCCCTTTCTTTTCAGCAGGAAAATCCTCCTGACCAAATACATTTTGAAGGCCAAGGGTGGGAGAGCCGGACACCACGGCTTTCTGAGTTCTGATCTGCCTGTGCCCATCAGGCGTCCTGGTAGGACACTAACTCTTGTCCGCAGCCATCTGCTCCCCCTCATGGCCTTCTTGAGTTATAGGATCATCCCACAGCCTTCCTACAATGGACTTCTAATATGTTATGACTACAACTCCCAGAATCCCCTGACATCCTGGCCAAACATCCCTAGACATCGAGGCTGCCATTGCGCAACGGGCGAAGCTCTGTTGACAAACATGCAGCCGTTGCAATCTTGCCTCCTGTCACGGAACATTCTTCAGCCACATTTTGTGGCTTGCTGTGCAGTCTGAACCTGGAGGGGCTGCCCTTTGGAAGAGCAGCCTATGTCCAACTTCAGTTACAGGGGCAGATTTGCCCTCTCTGGGGTTCAAGCAACACAGGAAGCCATAACGCACCCCCGTTAGTTGCTGGCACTTGAGCCGCTTACAGCCAGTTTTCTGGCTACGGGTAATTTGCAAGCCCAGCCAGAAGGTGGCTTCTCTGGACAGCTAGTATTGCCCCATCTTGCCAGGAGATGGGCAGGACACTGGCCTGCCTTTGGGGCTGACTCATCACCAGACCCTGAAGGGCGATGGGGACAGGAGCATCTCTGGGCGGGAGGGCAGCAGAACTCCCCCAGGACAATGCACCCTTTGATTTATGCCCTTCCTGGCTTCACAAGGCTTGTGCCAGTCCAGCAATGCCCTTTGGTTGCTGCAAGTCTTGGGGGCCTAATCGGAGACCATCAAGAGCCCCGCGAAGGTAGGGAAACGTCCCTTGAGGAGTCACTGAAGCAGAAGAGTTTGACAGGAAGATTTTTGCCGGTTGGCTATGAAGTCAACCCTGGTTAGGCCACCCCAAGCTGTATGTTGGATCAGGGTGGAAAGGGACGTGGAACGGGAAGCGCCCCAGGTTTGCCCCTGGCGGAACACTTTGAAGGAGGTCGTCTACACGACCAGACGTGGCAACACGGGAAGGACGCGAGCGAAAGTTGTATAGCATGTATATATCTTCCCTAACTCCCATTAGTGTTGTACAATCCAGTACTAGGGGAGCCCCTCGCTGCTGCCCCCCTCCTCTTAAGCATTAACCCGAGGAGGCCATTTCCCCCACTGTTCCTCATTTGCTTGGTTTCCGTTGTCCCTGTAAAACAGCAACGATCATGCTGCCTTCTGCTCGTAACCTTTCTGTACACGGTGCTCTGTGCGCTTCGCCCGCTGTTGTCACCGCTACACCGTGCTCACGGCTTGCTCCCCAAGGTTTGCTGGCAGAGGAACGCCTGTTTCAGAAGCACACCTTCAGACGGCAGGCGGAAGACCCCGTCCTCGTCCCCACAATTCTGGCTCTCTTTGAATGGAATCTTGTACATAATGACTGTAAAATGGCAAACTTGTGTGTATTATATATATTGACTCATTCTATAGTGTATATATATGTATACATATACATATATATAATATATATGAAAGATGTAAATGTTAAAACTAGTGTTCTTATTTAGTATATTGCTTCACACTGAAGATTGTGTGTAACAAGCTGTTTCTAAAAGAAGTTTATTTTCCTTAAGAGTTAAAAAAAAAAACAAAAGAAAAAACCAGGTCATTGCATTCAGAACATCAATAAAGATTCAACAATTGTTTTGGACATTTGTAGAGTTCCCTAATAACCTATTTTGCTGCCATCTCTTTGGGGTGGGGGAATGAGGTCAAAGCAGAGGAAATAGATCACGCCATACGTTGTAGATTCCCAGAAGCTAGGATCGGCCACCTGCGCCAAACAACTTTCTCCACCAGGATTCCTTAACAATTCTTTGCCGAGAAAACCAGGGTAGAAACCCAGTCAGCATCAAAATGTGTGTACATGCGTGGGGGAGATATTGGTGACCATTTCCAACCGGGTTGGGCTCACGATGGCCTGGACCACGTAACTTGCCAAGCTAACTGTTGTGTTTCCACATCACAGTGAATCACAAAATGCTCTGCCTTGCAAGGGGCACGTGGTGTGAACCTTGCCAACATCTGTGGGTGCCATTTCTGCAGTGCAGGGAAAAGGTCATCTGCACGAACAAATGTAGATGTATTTTAGAAAGCACCACAGGAGGTCGTGTGGTTAGCAACACATTTCCACCAGCATCTTCTTGTTTGAAGGATGCAACCGTAAGATTCGTGCCACGTATAAACAACGCCATCAGTCCGAAGGCACTTTTATGGATGGCCATTGTTCCACAGCAAGGTCTACTTGGACATCTTGATGGACTTTTGTGATGCCAATCCCACTGTTGAAATAGTGACTTACGTTTTTGGGAGGTCAGTCAATACATTTGCTGGCCAACAGCAAATCCTAGCACTCTCCAGCTGATTTCACACCATGTACTAAACCCAAGTTAACACAATTGCGATCTTCACAGAATATGCTACACTCCAAACATGATTTAATGAGATGGCCTGCTTCACACAACATGTTAAGACAATGAGCTCTGACAACACGCCACACTGTGGGCTCTCTGACCCAACTTTTCATCTAGTCTTATATGATGTGGAAACCAATTCTTTTGAATGTCCAAAAGAATAATCTGTACCACCAGCCCAGTTCACATATGAGATTTGTATCATCCTTCTGGATTCCCAAAGGCTTGAGTCCTCCTGGATTAAGCCAAACCCAAATGTCATGCTTCTCAAGAAGATGCCTCCAGGAAGCTTTCAACTGGGGTAGGAAGAAAGCAGCCCCTCCCCACTTTCACTGCCCCACATGTGCATACCTGTGACTCAGAACACAGAGGTTCCTCTACCTTGGTACATTTCAGGCAAAAGAAGAACTTGGCCAGCTCAAGCAGGCTGGGACATCTGGGAGGCTGCAAGGCTGGTGAGTCAACCCAGAGGACCCCCATGGTCTTCAGAGCCGTTGAAAATCTCACGAACAAACATGTCAAGGAGAGCTTTTGCAGAGGTGGCAAGAATTCATCAACCTAGAGGCCAGCTGAATCCATTTCCACCATCCTCTGCCCTTCTCCTGCTCCAATTAATGTCCAGACAAGGAGATATAAATAACTAGCTTTTTTATTTTATCTTCTGTACAAAAACCCCTCCCTTCATACTATGAAAATAACTTTTAAAAGGAAGAATCATGGCTGAGCAGCGGTGCACATTGGGAAGGGAGGATGCTAAGGCAGTTGCATCACCTCCTACAGATTATGGGCATGGCAGAAACAATCATTCCACCCCATCCCCTCGAGCTCCTCCACCAACCCTAACCCTAACCCCTCTGGATGGTCCTCCTATCAACCAATATGATGGGGCCCCAAACTATAGTTTGGGGTGGGAGACGGAGATTAGGGTAGAACAAGAAAAGGAGCTGTAGCTTTCAACAGATATCTTAGTGGATGGAACAGCAGAGATATCTAAAATCAATCTGTCCCCCTTCCACTTCCCTTCTAGAACTTCCATAAAACTTTTCTTTTTAATCCTATTAAGTGCGCCTTTCCAGGACTACATGTCCTTTGCAATTTTTTTTAAAAAAAACAAGAAATGTAGACTTCTTTTCCACCTGAGTCCATCGCTAAGACAAGGGAAAGTGTTGTCCCCCGTTTGGCCAACAGTTTCCAACCCTAGCAACGGGAACAGCTGCTATGTGAATAGGTGACAGTTTTACTCAGCCGTGAGGGAGCGTGTCCACCATGACTGAAGGGTCATCTGAGGTGGTGACAAGACAACCAGAAGAAACAGGTGAGTTAACTCCCATGCCCTCAAGGGATGGGGAGGAATGAAATTCACAAGCCGCAGCCTCCTTCTCCCACTCTCGAATTCTGCTAAGGGAGCCATCTCACTCTGTCACACTCTTGCACCCCCTAAGAGCCCCCCTCCTCTTCTGTGGGTCATCCTTATCGCCGGTTCCACCAGCTGCCAAGGAAAAGCAATCGGGGGATCTGAAGGACAAGTTGTTTCAAGGAAACTGCGCCCCCTCCCACGTGAATACAGAGACCAGCCAACCGCCAATTGAGCAACTCAAAGCAATTCACAACTGGCCAGATGGACCCCCTGCCATGTTGGGCCCCTGCCAATAAGGTTCACAAGTGATTGATGAGGGATTGCCAGCGAACCCGCTCCGGTGGAGGGGGAGGAGTGGAGTGGGCTGCGAGAGAGGGGGGAGCAAAGTCATCAGCTGCTGGACCGATGATGCAAGAAGCTGAGCGCTGGCTGGTCTCCAGACCGGTGGGGGGGAAATGAAGCTGCCCTTCCCCTCCAAATGCGCCCTGCTCACTGGGACTCTAAAATCCAACCGAGTCCAAGACTTGCGTACACACCCTTCTCCTGGGAACAGCGGAAGCCAGCCAGGTCCACCCAATTCTGCCACACTGGGCTGTCCCCTCTCAGACGCGTGCGGTCTAAGTCCGTTCCAGCACAGAAGGAAAGAAATAACAGAGCATCCTCGAGGATCCCGCTCTGCCTCAGCAGAGAGAGCAAGACAGAATCAAGGCTGCAAGGCTCTACCGGGGCTCCCCTCCAACAATTCACAAGCACCGCCACAAGCCGCACCTGTGGGGCCACTCCTGGCCTCCCCCTTCCTTCCCAGGAATCTTCTGAACCACCCCTCTAGCTGGAGGTGACTGTGGAGCCACTGCTGAGCCTGACAATAATTTGCTGGCACTCGTGGAGTGTCCATTTGTCTCCCAGCTTCTCCAGGGAGCGGGCAGCCTCGGCCAACACCCCCCCCCTTTGGCCTGGTCCCAAAAGCAACGCAGGGGGGAGGTAGGAGCAGGCCAGCAGCAAGGCCTCTGCTTGCTCCCGGGCGGTGGGGCGGCTCTCTTGTTCGCCGGCTGGAAGGGAAGAAAGAGAGGGAGATCAGGAGGAGCAGGATGAGAGGAGACCACAGCACATGAATTTAGACCACCCTGGTGCATCTCTGGCACCCATAAATTGGTATCGATCCATAGCTGCACCAATACAAGGACTCTCCATGCCCCCCTCAATTTCCATAACCCTCATGGAAGACTCTGAAGGCCCGTCTGCATTTTCAAAACCCCACGCCCACCATGCGAAGATCTCCTGAAGCTTGCACAAGCCTCCTTTGTCCATCATAAGACACTGTGATGCCCCTGTCTGGTTCCAGGGTAGAAGGAAAATCCAAGCAGAGAGGATAAATGAGCGCTCTAAATTAAACTAGGGAAGCTGTTATCACGGGGAACTATCTGTAAAACCAAGTAACAATGTCCTCTCTTTTTGGAGGGCTTGGCTTTTGTTTTGAGATGTTCTCCTGTGATAAAATGATTCCATCAAACACACTGGATACCACTGATATAATTACCCTCTTGAAGGGGAAAGCCCCCAAGGTTTCCATCCCCCCCCCCGACGCTGAGCACAGAATTGTAAGGCTTCCTTTTCCATTTCATGCTCCATTTCAGCCCTCCTGCACTTGAGCTCCTCCAGAGCGTTTGAACTACAGCTCCCAAGAGAGCCGACCATGGAAGCCCAATGCTGGGGAGAGGTAGGAGGTATTATATTGAAGAATGAACCTGGCACAAACATGCAGTTTTCTCTCTCCTTAATTCCCAGCGCCCCAAAATATGGTCTCATTGGGTACAGGAAAATGTCCTGAGAAGAGTTCTTTTCTGCTTCCTCACCTCCTTTGGTACTAGAAGGCCCCCTCCTGCGGAGGCTTCGGTCAAGCAACTGGTGGGTTCGGGTGGGGCTGGCTCGGGTCATCAGTCGGGCGGTTGCTTCATGGAGGAAGACCTGGAGGAGGGAGGGGGTAAAGTTAGTCCTCATGATAGCACTTCCGCCTCCCCCAGAAATCGTTGTCCTCTACGCTTGGGACAGTCCAGACGTCAGAGTCCGACTCAATCCAAGTGTTGAACTTGGGTCATAGTTTGGGGTTGAGGGAGGCAGACCATGGGGCAGCCCTCTGGGGAGGCCCCGGCAGATGGACCTTTCCATGTGTTTCTTGCTCTCCCTCCTCTTGCCGACCCATATTTTCATCACATGAGCGCTGGAAGGCTTCCACCATCTCCCCTGATCGTCCTGGGGCTCTTTTCAGTGGCCCAAAGGTCAAGTTGCCTGACCCCAGTTTAACAGAAGGACCCCCCTTGCCGCGATTCACCCTGTGCATTGCAGGCTGGTCTGCTTGTGCCAAGCGGCGGAGAGTGCTGAGATCCTGCTGAAAGCCGCGCAGCTCAAGGGCAGAGGCTTGGTAGCGGGCTCTGTGGGGGGGGGGCCTTTCATCTGCTGCTGCCAGAACCTGGTGCGGGTGATCAGGAGCAGGTCGCACAAGAGGAACTGCACTGCCTGCAGGGGGGAGAGAGACAGAAAGGAGGCTGTGGCTGGGGGATGGGAGAGTACAAAGATGTGGCTCCCGAAATCACGCGGCCCGGGGTGGGGGAAAGGTCTTTCTTTGCACCCCCTCTTCAAAACTAGAGAACTGTTTCTCTGTCATCTTTTGGCAGGCCCTTTCGCTGCTTGGATGCTGCCCCAGGGCTGCACTGGAGGGGCATTGCACATCTTCACCTGCACGTGCAATGCAACTACAATGCACCACCGACACAGCCATAGTCTCTTCCACATCACCATCTCCTGACTGATATGGGGCTCTCCACCCTGCACCCGCCTTTCCACTTTTTACCCCGCCCTTCCTACAGCCGTGTGCTTCCCTGATTCTAAGCGCCAGCCTCGCAAGGCACAGTGCTGGACAGGCAGGACCCTGCAGTTCTCAGGCTCAAGAGAACGGTTGTATCAACCCAGATCAGGCACTTCCAAGGCCAGCAAGAGGATGGCCAAGGATCCGTTGACTTGGCCCAGCGGGAGGAAAAAAGCAGAATTTAACTCCAGAGCACAGTCCTCCATGAAGGCACGGACTTCTACGTATGGCAGTCAGCAAATCTTCAGACCAGGTTTTCTTTCTGGTCTGAAGCAAAGAGAGTGACCTAGTCCTGAGCTGTGTCTGACCGCTGACAGCAGATAGGCCCATTCCTAAATATGGGGTTCTGTGTCTGGAGAGCTGAGATTGACGCCTTTGCCCGTGGGAAGCCTAGCAGCTATTCCTCACGACAGTGTAGCTCTGGGCAGAGATAAGCCCAGACCAAGCGAGCAGGTGGATCAGGACCAGTCACCACTTTCTGGTACTTCACCCACAGGGGAGATGGTTATGGACTGACAGGAAGGTTAAGGGCCAGCGCAGAAGTCAGCCTGTTGGCTTTGACCACGCTGAACCCATCCCTGGTTTAGTCCAACCGCCATGTTCAGGGTTCCTGCCTCCCGTTCTGCAGTTCCAAGAGACTCTCTGCCTTCGGAGCTTGAGGGCCCACGAGTTCCACCGATCCCCAGGACATCCCACTTGCACGTACTCTGTCAATAGTGCTTGGAGTTGGGTTGCCACCCAAGCTGTCACGCAAATATTCGCCAGCTTTATCACACTGGCCCAGGCTGCTGTCCTCTTTGCCCAACATCCGGGCTGCCTTGAAAGTGTGCAGTGCTGCACGGGGAAGGGGGTTCCTGCAGTGGCGAAGAAGAGCGGGTCGAAATTGCAAACTCACCCAGCTGTGAAAACATCCCACCCTTAGGAGCACACCACAATGGTCTGGAAACCCCAAAGAGGCAAGGTGCACTTTTGACTTTTAGGTCAAGTTTCAAGCCCTTCAGATGGTTCAGGTATTTAAGATGTCTTACATTGCAGAAGCCAGCTGAATGAAGGTCAAACGCTATACCCCCCCCCTTTGCCACCCACAAAGAATAATTCTGCAAAGTATGAGAAATTAAGCAAGGGCGCATGGATTCGTAGAGAGAAGTAGGATCCCACCGGAAAGGGAGCAGAAACTTTCTGCTTTGTTTTATTAGCCCCAGAGTATGACAACCCCAGTTCTCTTTTCCTTCCCCTGGAGAACCTGGCCCTGGGGGTGCTTTAACTGTTTGCACCCACGTAGCGCACTTACTCAGACAGCTGAAGAGCTCGTGGCATGAATTCCACCAGAGGATACAGGCGCTCCATGGCCTCCACATCCGCTTGCAGCCCGTGGATTGCCATGGCGACCACAGATGCCCACCAGTGAGAAACGGGATCAGTGCCTAGAGATGGGAGAGGGGAACCGTGTCAGGCTTCTGAAAGGATGGGTCCAAGCAGATGGAGGTCTGTTCCTTGCCCTGATGAGCTTCTCCATCGCCTTTGACCTCAGCTCAAGGGCCTCCCAGTCCTCTCCTTATCTTGTTAAGCCATTGCCTTCCTAAGATCCTGTTCCTTTCCATGCCTCCAGGAAGAACTGAAAAGGCATCCTGTTGGGTCAGTCCAGCCAGGCCCTTGTACACTTGGTCTGCAGGGAAAAGGTCCAGAGATCCACCCATGGCCTTTCCAAGCTGAGTGGGGACAGTTGGCTGAAACCCTGACAAACCACTGCTGGCTTCGGGCTGGGTTCAAACCTTGCCTAAGCCATCATGCAGTTGTCTTACTTGGGTTTAGTAACTATAAACCCAGCAAATACTGTTTTGTACATTGGGGCTTATGCTCATCATGTTGGGGACAGTTGGCTGAAACCCTGACAAACCACTGCTGGCTTCGGGCTGGGTTCAAACCTTGCCTAAGCCATCATGCAGTTGTCTTACTTGGGTTTAGTAACTATAAACCCAGCAAATACTGTTTTGTACATTGGGGCTTATGCTCATCATGTTGGGTGAGTCAGCCAACCAACTGAACCAACCAAAATGCTCAGGAGAGCGCTGGTGAAGGACAGGAAGGACAACCTTCTCTAGGGAAGGGTTCTCCAATCCTTGTGAAGCCACTAAGGTGCAATTCTCCTCAGTTACTGTTTCATGTTTCTGTATGTGTCTCCCGGCAGATGACCCACTCTTCTCCTCAGCCACAAGCTTTCCATTTTTTTGTACCTTTGTACATGGAGGTCCCACCAGAGCCTTCAACAGGACTCTGCTCCTCAGATTTGGCCATTCAAGCAAAAGCTGTCCAACCCCCCATCACCTCTGGCTGCAAAATCCTTCATGCTCATGATGCCCAAGGCAACCAAGTTCTTCCTCTTGCCAATTCTATTTCTTTCAACTCCATTTCTCCAAGCCAAGCAGAAGCTTTTCCTTTTCTTCCTCTGCCTGCCTCTTCATTTATTCCCAACCCCAGTTCTGGCCAGAAAAGTCCCAGGTTTGGTGAGAATCACCTGTGGCCGAGTCCATATTGGTACTGATGGAGGGAGATGGGTTGGGAACAGCATCTGCACAGCTGTTGAGGAAATGCAGGTACTCCAGAGCATCCGAAAATTCCCTTCAGCGAGACAAGAGAAAAGCAGGTGAGTTCTGCTACCAGCTCCGAAACGCTGAGAAGTCATTTGAACCTTCTGGGGACAGGGAGGGGAAATGGCTTCTGCTGCCAGCAATAATCCCTTAAACATTCCTGCCCCAGGCAACCGCTGTAGAAATCACTCTTTCCCCAGTGGAAAAGAAAATGCGGGTTCCTTGCCATGAGTCTCTTTCTTTTAGGTCAGCATTTCCTTCTCTAAAAATGGCAGAGGGTTAGGGTGGGACATGGAAAGGGTTGGAAGCCCTGGTGAAGTGGGCCACAAGCTCATTCCTCTTCTAGCCTGTTGAGCTGACCTAATGGCACATGCCGTTGTAAACAGCAGCCCAATCTCTCAATCTCTCTCCATAATCACTGATTTGGGGGAAGACGCTCAAGAGAGAGAGCTAGTGAAGGGCAGAAAGGACGACCTTCTCTAGGGAAGGGTTCTCCAGCTGGAGCTCAAGGGGCTGGGGAGGCGTATGGTTCTTACCCCTCACTGTGGCTGGCAGGGGCTGGGTTGTCCAGCCTGGACACGCAAGAAAGAGCCTTCTCAAGCAGATGTTCTCGGAAGAGTTGAGTCACCTGAGCCAGGGGGTTTGCTGGTGAGAGAAAGAGTCTTGTCAGACAGCTCAGCCCAGGCCTCCCAGTCTCTCCCAACCCAGTCAGCAACTCGTGAGCCCCGTTAGCACAATGCAACGACCCCAGAAATCA